TGTAGAGCTCAGTAGGCCTTACCTGATACAATTCAAAAGTGAGGATAGCATTAGCTTTGTTTTGGTCGTGCCCGATCTTGTCAGATTTTGGAATGCTAAGCTGCGTTCATTCTGGTTAGTACTTGTGTGGGAGCCTGTCTGAGAATACTCAGATGGTGTGGGTCGGATCGGGCCACGAAATGGAACAATGAAAGTTCGGCAATGGATTATTTAATCTATGAAGAGCTTGGCGTGATGCCCTCATGGAGTTGGGTTTTCTCCGGGTTCTGCGGTGTCATCTTACAAAAAAAATCCTAATTCATGTAATTGGTCAAAACATCCCAGCGTAGCAACAGGACTCTCCTGAAAACGAGTCTTGAGACTCAACTGAAGTTTCCTAAGGTACAGCGCATGATCACTATTATAATCTTCGCCTACCCATCTGGAATGAAACGTTGAAACAAACCAGTTTGCTGGCCTCACGCGGAGGAATACATTTGTCTATATTTCCCGTAATTGGCAGGACTGCGCCTTGGCAGCATTCACGTCCTGCAAACTATGAACACCATAAAGGCAAGGCTAAAGATAAACCTTCCTTCCAGTGGTATAGCCCAGGGACCTGGGCCCCCCTCCACAGTCCGTGCAGCCCGGTGCAATTGCACCCCCTGCACACACTGGGCAGCTGATCCACTGAGGAAATTGTTGGTGGGGGGGGGGATGCTGCTCGCCAACTGCTTTTAAAGGAGCAGCAACGAAAAACAAGCAGAAGTTGTACGTTGCAATACGAGTGGCACAACAGCCAACCAAACACTAGTAAACAGTACAAACCATACAATTAATCCTAACCAACGAGCCAACCAGTGACGATGCTTATCCTTCTCACTGAAACTAGCCCGAAATAGCCAATCAGTCGCTAGTGCTACCCCTAATTAACTTGCAAACCAGTCACTGTCATTGACCCTCTCACCGATACTATTCCTCAACAACCAGCTGCTTGTACTATGCCTACCCACTATCCCTAATGCCAATCAACTAGCTAACGAGCTACTACGAACCCACCAATTGACCCGAACCCTACCCCTAACCCCACCTTTACCAGAGCCTCTTTATCCACTGTTAACTGCTAACGGGGTTGTCAGCCGGAGCTGTCCGTGTTGGGTTCCGGAAAATATATCCCTTTCCACCCCACCCCACCAGGGGTCCTGGAAATGTCCCAGGGGAAATGCTACCCAGGCTGTAAAGTTCTGGTGTTCAAAGTCGCCCCCCCCCCCACACACAGAGGGGGTAATTTAAAAAAATAACTATGTATAGATCCTCGTCGTTGTTGTTGATATAATCACTCATCTGGAATAATAATAAAAAAATCCCCCAGTACTGCGTGGAGTGATTTAATGGACGAGGGCACAAGGGTTTCAATTAACAACCATCTCGCGTTGCATAATTTAAAAAGCCAGTTTCTGGTTCAGTGGGATGGGATTATGCGAACTGGGAAATTAGACGGCTTTTTTGGAAGTCGCGAGTCTACCATGAGAGGCGCGCCCTCTAGTGGCACGCCCAGTGAAGACAAATGACCCAAGCGCAAACCCTGCTGGTAGAATGCGTTGAACGTAGCCAACCGTGCTGATCGGAGGTGCGGGAGAACAACAAACTAAACAGTCCTAAAGAAATGAGTTTTGCAATCTAGATTTAAAAGTGCAAGCCTCCAATGGCTTCATACTATCCTAAGAAAGAGCGTTCCAGACGGCTGCAGAAGCGCATCTGAAAGGGCGCAATACAGTGAGTCTTTGTTCGATGGCGATCCAAAATACGCTGCGAGAATGACCGGAGTTCACGTGATGGTTTATGCTCCTTGGATAACACCAGCAGTGCCCGACCTATTAATTTATCCCTGCCACTAGAACGTGGTCATGCCATCACCAGCCCAGGATTTCCAAAATAAATGCAGAACCGCCCAACTTTCGTTTGAAAATTAAACATTGCATGGCAATATTATCATTCCACTACTGGATAAGGGCCTGCCCAGGCTGTGCACTTCGTGGGGGGTCTGTTTGGTCATACTTCACCACGCTGGTCAATGTGTGTTTTGGTGAATTGCGGTGCCCAGGACCGGTTTAGATGTCACTCGCCACCGCCGTTAACCGTGGCCGGGAATCTAACTCAGGCGTTTTTTTTTTACTCCGAGCGCATTGTGCTTAACCACTGCACCACTGCTACCCTCTCTTCCTCCCACAAGGGTATGCGTGGTTTCACGTGTCAGTATGTCTACATGTGTAAGGTGGGGTGGGGGCATAGTTTCGGGAGCATGTAAGAACAGTGAACTATAGCGTTTGCTGCACAACAGTAGCCTCCCGCAGCAAACTACGAAACCTGAGTGCGTGTTGGTCGCCCATCCAAGCACCGTTTAACACGCTGTAGGGCTTTCGCGACCAATATCATCCACAATAAAGGTTTTTTGGGTTAGATCGCGTAAATGTGTCGTTAAACCCACCACCACCCGACAGCCAATTAGTAATGTTTGTCACGTAAACAGAACATGCCAATTCGTTACTAGTACAGCACACCGGTGTGTTGGAGAGCAAAGCCACAGCATTTACAATCTGAGTACGACATTTCGCCATTAATTACAAGCTTCATCAGGCGACAGCCAGATTTTCTGGAGAAATCCTTCTGTTTCCTTCATCAAATATCCAAGCACTATCCAGGTTCAGTCTCGATGAGCTTCCGAGGTGTCAGATTGGTCGCATTCCGGGCAATTGTGGTCACAGGGCTCTGGCAAAAACGCACGTGGAGAACTCAACGAGCTTAATCTTGACTCGACGGCTACAATCCACTGCCTTGACAATGCACCCCATTATTGGTTATGGGGGCATCGGCGCATTTTCATCACAAGGCATACCAAACTGAAATGCTTTTGTCAGCTTCTACGCAATAAATCAACTTATAAATACTTCATAATAAAGGTTTTTGGGTTCGATCGCGTTATTTATAAATGTGTCGTAACCCTCCACCAACCGACACGGTCAATCAGCAAAAAAGTGTCACGTTGACAAAAGACAATTAGTTCACTACTTTAGCCCACCGGTGTGTTGAAGAGTGAATCCACAACATTTACAGTTTGAATACGACGTTTCGCTGGTAATTACATCCAGCATCATCGGGCAATTCGCCAGAATGGTAAAGCCCTCACTTGCTCCCGGTCTTAAATAGAGCAGCAGGGTTACGTCATCATTTAACTCATTCAGGTGCAGTAATTATATAATCGATTGGTAATCAATGGTTATGATTAGTAATGAGTTGTAATGTGTTATTGTGAATATATGCTACGTTAGTAATCCGTTCATTAGTATGTTTCCCCTATAAGGAATTGTAATATGTATTATTTAATAATACGCTTCCAAGCTGCACTAAGCCTATAGCTATCAGAGCGATTAAAGTTATTTCTATTCTCTCAATTTCAATGGATTCTCTAATTAGTCTTTGCCAGTAATAATTAGTTTTACACAACACTTCAACGTTATCAAAATCAATTGAGTGTCCTTGTTGACAAGCATGTTCTGCCACTGCCGACAGTTATGAGAAATAGAAATAACTTTAATCGCTCTGATAGCTATAGGCTTAGTGCGGCTTGGAAGCGTATTATTAAATAATACATATTACAATTCCTTATAGGCGAAACACATACTAATTAACGGATTACTAATGTAGCATATATTCACAATAACACACATTACAACTCATTACTAATCATAACCATTGACTGATTACCAATTGATTATATAATTACTGCACCTGAATGAGTTAAATGATGACGTCGCCCTGTTGCTCTATTTAAGACCGGGAGCAAGTGAGGGCTTTACCATTCTGGCGAATTGCCCGATGATGCTGGATGTAATTACCAGCGAAACGTCGTATTCAAACTGTAAATGTTGTGGATTCACTCTTCAACACACCGGTGGGCTAAAGTAGTGAACTAATTGTCTTTTGTCAACGTGACACTTTTTTTGCTGATTGGCCGTGTCGGGTGGTGGAGGGTTGGGACACATTTATAAATAACGCGATCTAACCCAAATACCTTTATTATGAATATTGGTCGCGAAAGCCTACGTGTTAAACTTATAAATACTTGGTTACGTATATATTCCAACTGATTGTCTTAAAACAAAGACATTTCCTTTTGAAAAGTTTCAGTGAGCAGTGCATCACTCGATGTCAGAGAAAGGGCATTGAAAACATAAGATACAGTACTCCTGCATTGATTCAATATATCTCTTTTGCCACACAATGGGCATATTCTTTAAAGCCATGAAAAAAAGTCTAACAAGACAAGCTGAAGTTGTTCAATCTCACCAGTCAGAATTTTGGGAAAGTGGGAAAAAATCTAATGGAACGTTTTGTTTTTCTGTGCAGGCATTAGAGAACGATCTGAGGCTATTTACTCATTATAACTTGAGAAATCAATTTAATTACAAACGGCTGAAACCAGGATTCAAACCTAGGATTTCAGCAGCGCAGGCTTAGTGCTAAATACTAAACTATATATATATTTTTATTTTACCGGGTAAGACCCACTGAGCTATATAGCTATTTTTTTATACGTAACCTGGCCCTAAAATGAAGTGGCTTGTGTCGAAATGTATAGCAGCAAAATACTCTAAATGTATGTTGATTCTAAATATGGAGGGAAAAACCACATGACCCCGAGAACAATTTACGCAACTGTGGGGAGAACATGCAAACTCCAAGTATACAGGCATCAGGTTCGGGCTTGAACCCATGACCTCATGTATACCAAGCAAGGTAGTTAACATATCGCCACCGCTCAGACCCCTGAGTCAAAGGGCTAACTTTCAGATTAACCTATCATCTAAGAGGCATGTCAACTCAATGGGATATCATCTACCAGATTTAAATACAATGTTTAATTTGGAGGAGCTAAAATTGTAAGTTCTTATTGAATATTTTGCACAATCACAAATGTTGCATACAAAAACAATAAAACGGTTCTCGAACGATAACAAGAATAATCGTTAATGGAATTTTTATTTCATTTACGTACTTGTGAACAAAAAAATGAAAAAAATGCTGATGCAGCAACTACAAAAAATCCCAATATACAAATCTGCACAGGTAAGGGAGAGTGTGAAGTATCATTCATAAACAGGCGTGCATAACACAGTAGTAATAATAATAAACAGGACATCAACATTACATCATCTCAAGTAAATATTTAAACACGTGGGAATTTGTCTTTAAGCTACGAGTGACTGTTGGTCTGAGTGGCCGTTTTGGGCAGTTATGCTAGTGGTTCATCTGCCTGTCACTTACAATACATATCGTACATTTTAAAAGCTCATGTTCACTCCAATGAGTTAGAATCCCAATCGAGCAGCGTTAACTTCTGCAGATGATCACCATCAAATAATGTACGTGAAGGCGCAAAGTGTTTAGGTTGCACTGCATGGACAGATTCAAACCCACCCACAATAAATTCCCAAACAGAGGGCATGTATGATACATTTCTCAGCATGTATAAAAAACAAAAAGCCATTTAGAGAATACGATGTGGCCCGCGATGGCATTTTAAAAGGCAAGTTCTCTTTCAGGACCTCAGCGTGCATTATTTGACAATTCTGTTTTCAATAAGAAATGAAGATGGCTTTTATTTGGCCTAAATAATCCTACGTAAATCAATTCAACAATCTGAAATTCATAGGTGATACGTTCGGGTCAAGGATGGCCCCAACCCGTCAAAACGTATTGCTAGAATAAAAACAGATTGGTCTCCATGATGAGGCCACACTCGCTCTTTACTTTTTGCCTTGACATTTTTTTCTCTCTCCTGTGTTGGCAATAATTCCATTTAAAAAAATGCATGTGGAAAAAAAAGCTTTAACGACCTGCAGCATTAAACATGTACTAAAGCATCGTCCCTTCAGCATAATTTTGTCAGGTCTGGCTCAACCGCTCTAGCCGAATGAGTCGACGTTCGTAGGGTCAACAGAGCGCACACTTCGAATGCTTCAACCCAGCAGGTTCTCAATCCCAAGGGTTGCACCCTGCAGCCTTACAGGAAGGGATGCAAGCTACGGCATGGCCGACTTTGCAGGCAATATACATTTTGAATGTGCACAAGGATGGGGGAGGGAAGGGATACTTTACCAAAAAAAAGACGGGAGAACCAGGGGTTTTAACCAATAAGAGAATAAACTTTGCGACAACTGTTGCGACGACGGGAGGAATGCCGATGACATCACACATACAAAAAAAACCCTCCCCAAAAGCCAGGGGCTGCATGTTGTCAACATTAATAAGAGAAATACTAAGTTTTACACAATATGACTCGCATCCGCATTGCTCCTGCTGCCGCCGCCACCACGGTTAATAAAGATGGTACAGCACTCCTTTTAAAAACTGAACCAGAAAAAAACCCAAATAACTTAAATCTTGAAGATGTATATCTTAGCTGTCTGACAAAAGTTTGAAACTTTAATGGGACTTTAACTTGACTTTCAAGGTTGCCACTGCAGCACTCAAAGTGACATCACGATAGTGAAATATTAAGACGATATAGCACAAAAACTGTGGTGTACACCTCTACCATGGCACCCTTGAAAGTGGCTCAAAATTGTTTTGTTTTCATAAAGAAATTCCCTAATGAAGTTGCAAAATTCTCTAAGCAAGGGTACGGATGTGCTTAAGTATCTGCAGGACAAGAGCTATGTTTTTTGGGGGGTAAAGTATGGTCAAATAACCCCTCACAAACGGCACTGCATGGGGGGGAAGGCCTTCAACCAGCAGTGAATTGACCAAACGACTGTACACATGCATGTACGATTGTAAATGAAACTGTATGGTCAGGATCTGAATATCCTAACAATGTTGGTACCCTGTTACATCACTAACCAGCAGAGCCCTGTAGCTTATATCTGCGATGACGCATCCGGCATCTTACCATTTAGTACAAGAACACTCTTTGGATGATCTACGCGAGACCAGTGCTTGCTGACGTGTATTTTTGACGTTTTTTTACTTTTGTGTACCGACAGCCAGGCCGAATAAAATAATTTATAATGGATATTCAAAATAAGAAACATTTAACTTACACTGCAGGACATTTTAAGAATTGGCCACCATGGCAATCAACAAAGATTAAAATTCATCGCATTCACGAAAAATGTTACCCTTCTAAATCATGCCGTAAAAACACTATTTTTGTTTTGTTATTAAATGGCCATCAACAAACATGGGTGTTCATGAGACCTCGTTAAATGTCCTCATCTCTCATCAAATTTGGTTCCAACATCAACGTAAACATTCAGCAATCGCTCTACAGACTTCACAAACCTCTACACCGTTACAACTGCTGGCTGCTCCCGCCTTGTGTCGCGGTTGGCAATGCGATGGGATTGCCTACATCACAAGGCGCTTGGTCAAAGTGGCAATAGCTTCATGTTGCCGACAATGGCCAAGAGCTTAACTAACGGGGATCACCATTATCCCATACAAATAAACACAACCGATCATGGGAATACCTATTTACATGTGGATATTCATTTAAATGGATGATACAAGCGATGCCTGTGATATATGTATTCCTCAAGATAAACCAGGCATCAGGGTGATATCTGCGTTCCCCACAGCTAAAGTATCGCAATACACACCCGTGATCGCCAGCGCAGCTATCACAATGGCATTATAACACACAGCTTATTGATCACAAGTAGCAATTTATATTCTTTGGGTATTTCGGTAAAGTCAGGTGGATAAGTTCAAAGAAAATAACAAAAAACGACGCTTGTGTTGCGATCGAAACGTCGTAGTTTTTTGTTTTCTTTGAACATATCTGTGACTTTAACGAAAGACCTAAAGAATATGCATTTCTGCAGTCACGAAAGCTTTAAGTCAAGATTTAAGTAGCAATTTGTGAATGAAAGCACACGCCCCCTTTCCTCAACTGCTCCATGAATTCAGCAAGTGGCCAAGCCTCACCGTAAAATGCTTCCGTTTTACTTTAGCCCTCCAAAATTGTACCTTTTCGGTTAATGTGCCCATGTTATTTGTAGGATTAATATGAAACGGATTTTTTTAATCTACTTGTGTGAAGTCGTGTAAATTTATGTTAACGGCAATGAATGTAAAAAAACAGGGACATCTAAAATCTGGCAAGGTTATGTCGGAAAAGACAAAGGCAATGGAGAGGCTGTCACAGAACACTAAAATATAACATTTAGCCACGTAAAGTTTCAACGCATTACATTCAGCATGGCAACAACAAAAATTATGGCTAATGCACTTCCAATTCAAACTCACGCAGTGATAAAAACCGTGTACCAAAGATGAATTTACCGATAAGAGGCGCAGTGAGCTACAGCCACCCACCACCGCCCCCGTCCACTGGGAGGTTATGATGAATGATCACAAATCAGGATCACAGTTCAAGATTTTTTTTTTCAACAGAGGCGAATGTAGCAATGTTAAGTTAATGGCTGCAGCAATCACATGGGACCCCAATTACATAGAAAATGATTCGTGATAAAAATAAATTACAAACTAGATTATATGCCGCATATCGTGAACCTTTGAACCAATAATGTTAAATGCATCTCTACCACTGCAAAACCAACGTGTTCCACTCGGCGAGTTTGGTCAGGGTTTACAGACATCAGTAGATGCCGCAGACTATACAATTTGCTACAGACTGCACCACTATTTCCTGGGTGAGTGGTACAGCAATGTATATAGCTGCAAGCTGCTCTATAGTGGCTGCAAAGGTAACATGAACCAATTAAATACAACACATACACATTGAAATGAATCGAGTCTCGCACGCAAGATTCAATGCATTTCTGGCGAGTGAAAAGGCGGGTTCCAAGCCAGTTGAGCAACTCGGTCGTTTATACGTTGCCGTCTCTGCAACCAGAAACGTTCACTTGTGAAGAGGCGATTAAGGTGTGCGATTCCGAGTGATTCAGTCATGTGACTGATCGCTCGGGCGTGGACCTGCCTGAAGAGCAAATAGATGACTAAATGGGTAATTCCACCTATCATTTTTTCGACCTCCTCACACCTACCCAGAAATCAACAGCAGTCTCCCCACCTCATCCAAAGAAGAGTGGCAACGTGTTTAGTACAATACGACAAAAAAAATCACGTTAAGATCGATGCCTTCCTCCATCTGTGATTATACACGGGACCATGTTTCTATGCCTCTCGTGTGTATTATCTCTGTAGCTAATAACCCATGGGAGACGTTCTCAGTTCACGTGCTGCACACGGTGCAGTTACTGCACCTCTGTGTTTTGTGCAAATATTTTGTGCAAAGAAAAAAAAACCACCAAACAAGCCGGCCTGATATTTGCTAACGGTGCTGCGTGGCTCACACGTGGCTCGTCCGGTCGGCGTTCAACGCTGATTTTCAACGTCTGGAGACACGACCCGCGGCAGCAGTTTGAGATGGGAGTGCATTGATACCGTTTTATTTTTTTTTTCAACCCCTCACCCCCCCACCGCCCGCTTTACAGAGGCTTTCCCCCAACGACACAGAAACTTGGGAGATACATTCAGTAATATATGTGTGTGTGTGTGTTTGATACACACTCAAAACGGTTATATGATGGACGGGTCACAGACACGCGTTACATCGATTACGCTTATAAGCGCCGCCATGGGTGCACTCATGCCCACCCGGGAAAGCGGACGTTGCATTAAAGTAGTCCTTTAAATATTTCTTTTTAAAAGCCTCCTCTTTTTTGTCCACCTCATATCCCCCCCCACCCCCCCCCCCCCCAAGAGAAAAGTGCTGACGCATTAACCGAGAGAGGCTAATGCGTGTACAAGACGACCTTGACTGCGCAACAAAACGTGGCCACTTGGGTCGTAACCTCTCTAGCGGAATCGGCGATCCCGTGGAGAAAGGCGCCGAAAACGGGGATGATGCCGAGACTGCGAACACCGAAGCGCTTTCAACTATGGCATGATGTTTTATTGCCGGAGTTCACGTGATGGTTTATGCTCCTTGGATAACACCAATACTGAGCCGGCAATGCTGAGAACCTGGCTTCAAAACCAGGTCCTCAGCAGCGATTAAACCAGGTTCGAAAGTGAAGCGCATTCATGTCTCATGCCGATCGCTAATGACAGAATGCAAGATTCTATTAAGTAAATGTTGTTTTTCACTTAATTTTGAAATATCCCAGCTCTGAGACTTAAAAAAAAATACTTCTTTGACTGTAATGTGATGGAACAATTCATCGTGGGAAAAGTTCTCAGAACAATTTCCGTGATATCATCTCCTTCCATGGAGCATTCTCGAACACGGGGTGACGCACTATTCTGCGAGATTGCCAACGGACACTTCATCTCATGCCATGACGCCTGGGGAAAACAAAAATATATTCTGCACTATTCTATGCTTCCATCGGGAGTGTAAGAAAAGATTTCAATACATCACTAAACCACGTCGTTTCATGCCTTACCACTGTAAAATGATTGGTATGAGGGATCTGTTCGCTGGATTTTCAACTGGTCAGAAAGGCAAAATAAGTCGAAGCAGAATTCTGCTGAACTAAGCAGTGGGGGTGGCACTCACCTCCCATTTACAACCCTGAGCCAAGGGTGCAAATGACACATTCCTGTGGAAAGGGGCAATTAAATCCATAGGAAATCCCCTAAAATGACTTCCAACACAGTAGTATATATTGTGGACCCCCCCAAGAGGGATGAAAAGCAACCGAGATTTGAACTCCACACCTTCTGTTCTAACGGCCGTGTGTGCTTGGCCGGATGGTTACACAGCCAGACGTGCATTAAAAAAACCCAACCTTCAAATCACAGCCAAGTTGGAAACACTCCCAATTCCAACTGAAACATACATTAAAGACAAGGTGCACAAAGTCTGCACGCCCTGCAGCAGATTAATTTAAGGACGGCGGGCATGGCAATAATACACTTCGCTACCCCTTGCACTCACACGAATAGAAACGGGAATGGAGAACCCCGCGTTTGTGCCACCGCCTTCACAAACTCGCATGGCACCAATGGCAACCACTCCTTCGGTCTAAAAACATTCTTTTTTTTAAGATGGACTTGATGTAAAAAAAACAATTCGGAATTTGAGGAAAAAAGGCGAAATAATGTATAATTTCCTCATTGGCAACTTCTAGTTTTTGGTGCAAGATTCTAAATCTTGGGCACAACCGATGTGGCATGGATCGATCAGCACCCAGCCCTTTTCTGTTGCAAAGGTGTAGGCGGCTGTGGAAGAGAGTGGCGGTATTGGCGGCTGAGGAAGTGGCTACTGACGTGTCGCTACCATCAGCCATGGGAGAGGGTTCGGGACGACCACTTCGCCACGCGACCTCCCTGACTTCATCGGCCAAGTCTATCAATGCCTTCCTCTGCTGCTACACAGCGCACGCATCGCAACGGCATGCATCCCAGAGCGGATCGCAAATCCAAAATGCAATAGAAATAAAACCATGGAGAGGTTTTGCATTTCGATGTGTGCAGTAGCTCACAAAAGCAAATGTGTTTGCCAATTCGGGCCTGCAGGCTTCTGAACAGAACCCAGCTAATTTTTGTTTTTTGGCGATGCTTTCAACAACAGGCGCTTTAGCCACAGATACTTAAAGTCACATGCGGTGGGTGCGGTGTTGCCCCTTTGAGCAGTCACCGCTGGCTTTCTTGCGCTGCGTTGACATCAAACCCACGGGTGGGCGGAAGACTTCCACAGGCGTGGAAGGGGACAGGACACCCGTTTCTGCCAACTCGGCTCCTTTTCGCCAAAAATAAGTGGACGGCAAAGGTGAAGGGCAGCGCCACTTCCCCGCCCGTCAGTGCGTTAATATTCCCAACATGGCGCTGCTCCCAACAACTGCATTGTGGGCACGCTCTCTCCGATTCGATTTGGCAAGAAAACAAATAACCTTTCGTTTTTGGCCGAAGCACAACCCACAGCCATAAAATAACAATAAAAAGTAAGAATATGAATAACTAAGGTGCAGCCAACTCAATCATCGGATCGACAGCCTGATCATTTTTAGCCGCACCAAAAGTGACAGTGGCATCAGGTTTTGATGGACGTGCCCTCGCGATCACATGGGGGGATTACTGAGGGAGCAGGGTTTTTCTATGAGATGAAAGGAGTGGGAAAATGGGAGGCGTAGGGTCAGAGATTGGAGGTAATGAGTTCCAACGTCAAAGTCAAAAGGTCAGGAGTCAAGGTTTGGCCAGAAGGTTGATGCATACGCCGCACGGAGAGGGGGGGGGGGGGGTCGCTGGAATGGAGCGACTCCTGGTCCTCGCCGTTTCCTGCAAGTCTCCGCAGCCGAGCACGGAATTCAAAAGCTTTGGGAACAAAACAAAATATTCATTAGGGTCGCATTTTATTACTTATTTTAATCAAGTTATATTAACAGCAATGTCGGATTAAAATAGCACCTTTTATTGATTTTAAATAATTAACAAAGAATAAATATATATTTAAGAGCGTGAACAAATGGGTTTTTTAATGACCCAAACATTTCTAGCATTTGATTACGCAAGAAAACCTTGGATCAGTTCCAACCTCTCCGATTCTCTTCAACAGGGGGCGGCCCGTTAAATAAATGCTGTTGGGCTGCCTGGTCTTATAAGCAAAAGCCCTCCATCAGTACGGCAGGGACTCAAACCCAGGGCACAACTGGGAATCAAACCCAGGACACCATGATCATAATTGCAGTGTATTCTAGTATGTGCCACTGCTCCCCATACATAAATACACACCAGGTACTTATTGAAGGCTGAGTCGAGGAGGCCTAGGACAAGTTCAGATGCTATATGCCGCTGATTTGTTTAGCTGGAATTCGAACAAATGTCGCTAGTACACAGAACAATAACAACTGCCATTCGCCACTAAGTGATGGCGATGTCACAATAACATTTGCACCAGATTTGGTGCACTGTGATGGAATGTGAAGTGTTAGAGACTTCATGGGACCTATTTTGCCAGTACCAGTCTGCATTAACCACAAGTATTGTAGTGAATGGAGACATGATTCCTTGTAAAAGGTCTTTCAGTTTGGTGTTTTAACATCTTAACACCTGTTTTGTTGCCAGAAAAAGGAGAAAAACCTATTCTCATGTCAAAGACTTGCTGGCAGGAGATCACGGAGCAGACCAAGGTATAAATGGGTTAAACTAAGACAAAATTATACACACAAACTTGTGTAATTTCCACATACGCACCTAGCAAGCGCAGTCAGGCTTGGCTGGGGCCTGCACTCCCCGTGGCTGCCGCAACTGTCGAAGCGTCGAATCTCCGTACTGGATTCCCGATCCCATACGCTCAGGGTCCAACTCCCCTGTTGTGGCAGCACATACATAAACACAGCATGAACAAACAAGATATCGAACTCCCATTAAACAATATAAAACACTGAGGAAAGGACTGTTAGTGAGTCCCTATAATGGTCAGTCCAACGCACAAGGGACTTGGTGTCCAGCACAATGCCTTTGTTCCACTGCTCATGTTTTAAATACTACACCAGGTACTCAAGGCTGAGTTGACCAACGGGAGACCCAACACCGGTACAAGATATCAGTTGCTACTGGCTAGGAATCAAACTCGGATTGCCAGGTTCATAGCACAGTATGCAAACCACTCTACCATCACTCCTGACATGTGTTACACGCATAAAGACAAAAATCCCCCATATATTCATAATCAAGGTTTTTGGGTTAGATCGCGTTATTTATAAATGTGTCGTAACCCTCCACCACCCGACACGGCCAATCAGCAAAAAAAGTGTCACGTTGACAAAAGACAAATAATTCACTACTTTAGCCCACCGGTGTGTTGAAGAGTGAATCCACAACATTTACAGTTTGAGTACGACGTTTCGCTGGTAATTACATCCAGCATCATCGGGCAATTCAAACTGTAAATGTTGTGGATTCACTCTTCAACACACCGGTGGGCTAAAGTAGTGAATTATTTGTCTTTTGTCAACGTGACACTTTTTTTGCTGATTGGCCGTGTCGGGTGGTGGAGGGTTACGGCACATTTATAAATAACGCGATCTAACCCAAAAACCTTTATTATCAATAATATTGGTCGTGGAAGCCTACGTGTTAAACTGATCCCCCATATAGCCTTAACATACTTTTGGGGCAAGTACTGTTAGCGAGCACCTATGAAGGCTGGCATGACACACAAGGGGTGAGGGAGGGGGTTTCAGCATTATTCCCGACAACCCTTGCCTCCCTCGTGGCAATGTTTACACACCGCATGAGTACTAATTTGAGGCTGAGTCCACCTAGGGGAGGCACAGGACTGGTTAAGATAATCGTCACTGATGTTAGCTTGAGCAGGAATCGAACTCAGGTAGTCGGGTTCGCTAACCACTACACCACCGATCCCCATACATAGACACACCTACGCACACCCACAAACACCCCATATACAGATGCAACCCTAAGACACACACCCCCACAAATATACATACATTGTACCCTTTTTTAAGCTATGGAAGGACACCAGAGAACCCAGAAGAAACTCATGCATAACAAAAGGGCGGAATATACAAACTCCACGCAAAAAGGCACCCGAGGAAGGAATTGAACCCAGGCCCTTCTTGCCAAGACTGTACGAGCGCTACCTCCTAAAAGGTGACTTCACCAGTGGTAAATGTGACACGACTGACCAGACTCGATCTTGTTGAGGATGGTCCTCGCGCACTTGAGGAATGCCTCTTCCACATTCTCGCCCGTCAGCGCACTCGTCTCCAGAAACATCAGCTCTGCGAGCGCACGCAAAAAAAACAACGGTTAAGAAAGCACATGCATATGCAAGGATTTACATGTACGGAACCGTCCTCGGAAATATTTAATTGGCACTATGCAAGCCGACAGTTAGTTAGCTGTCGGGGCAAAACGTGTCCTGTTTACTATTCTTTGAGTCCCTCCCCAGTTTCCACAAACCCTTGGATCAATATGCCCACTTTTCAACAGGGTGGGACAGAGCCTTCTATAAGAGATGCTAAAGATCATAACTGATGAAAGCATCTGTCACTGGACATCGGCCCTAGGTTACGAGGTTGAAACTCAACAAACGGGAAGTCCTTAATAACGACAAAACTTTACACAAACGTTTTGTTCATATTGCATCTTCTATACGAGATGTATGATGAACCCTTCCCCGTTACAGATGAATGTATGGACGGACAGAAAGAGCCAATGCATGCACACACTTTAAACCTTAGTTGTAAAAAAATCAAAGCACAGCTTAGGGTACCGCACCAAGTGGAGGTGCCATCAGTAGTGTAATGTACCCTATTTTAAAAATACTTTTTCTCTCTCTAATCGTGCTATTATTCCGTGATGTTACGAGCTGCATACATTTCCATTCCAAGTGCTTGCAGCGAGTGTCAAAATGAATTGGCGCCTGGAAATAATATCATGGAACTACTTCTCAAAGCCCCCTTCAAAGGCCTCTTAGCTGCATTAGGTGATGCACATTTTTATATACCCTGTAAAGAGTTACTCTATGCATGACAATCAAACCAAAATGTTTAATCCTCGCCATAGGAATATGCCGAAGTCAACATTTCATATTTTTATTATGCGTTCACCATGATGAAACTTGAGAACCTGGTTTAATTACGAGTGACACAAATCTGGATTTGAACCCAGAATGTGAGCAATGCTGACAGCTGACCATCTCTCAGTATTATACCTCTAAGCAGTACACAGACCAGTTGCCAGCACACTCATCCATTTCACTCAAAAAGTTAAAGTTTTGAGTCCTCATTCAGCTGCACAAGGAAGACTGCAGCTTTAACACCAAAGCAAAGCCATTTCCTGTAAGGGCATTAAAATACGCATGCAATATACGTGGGCGTCATGGTCCGAATATAAGTTGTAAAATTGTAAAAATATACAATTTTTGTCACCTACATCTGAAAAAGGCATTTCATTTTAGTGAGCCCCCAACTGGGATTTACAAAGAGGAAAATTAACATCACATACACAGATGTATATGTTTGGTGTTGCTGCTGTTATCGAGCCCCTATTAAGACTAGCAGGCCCATGACAAGAGGCTTATTTAGCACACAAGAACCACATATACCCAGCCACTTGAAGCCCATCTCCTTGACAACAGCTAATAAGGGTACATATGGTGTACACAGCCCAACCAATAATAAACATAATTCAAGCTGATTCGCCTATGAAGATCAATGGAAGAGGGGGGGGGGCAATTGCAGGAAGTGAGGGAGGGAGGTTCAAAGGCTGGGAGTAGCTGCTGGGAAGGTGGACGTGTTGAAGGGGAGAGGCAAACCATTCTCCTGGGCGAAGCGTGACGCCTCAAGGAAGGTGACCTCTCGGTCCGGTTCCAGGTCCTTTTTGTTGCCGCACAGGATGATGGCGATGTTGGGGCTGGCCAGCGTGCGTGCGTCCGCCAGCCAGTTGGTCAGGGCGTTGTACGTCTCCCGGCTACCGCGGTAGCAAAGGAATGGTGATTAGAACGAACGTAGGCGCACAGGCGCTCACACGACAACAACAGCAGCAAATGCCATTCGCCACGAAACGGCAGTGGAGAATGCAATGAGCAGGAAATTCGGCCTTAAGTTAAAGAGGGTTGTGGCATGCATGAGGTTTACCTGGTGATATCATACACCAAGAGGGCACCGGCTGCTCCCCGGTAGTAGCTTCTGGTGACAGAGCTATGAAGACAACAATTTTGGTGTGAACACCAAGATATAAAAGCAAACACGAAGGGGTGATGGCTGAGGTGTAGGGGTAGGATTAAGATTCATGACAGGGCTAGTACAAGAGGCTGGCTGTGGCAGGTTAGTTAGGCTGAAAGATGGCATTAGTTGATTAGGGTTAGTGGGAGGGCTAGCACTTGTAGCTGGTTGTCTAATTATAAGGGCTAAGGTTAACAAGAGGGCTAGTTTGTTTAGGGTTAGCAGTTAAAAGAGAATCTGGTTAGTTAGTTTCATCAGTCCAATGGCTTGCATAGCCTCTCCAGTGCGATGAATGACATTTTCAGTTTATGGCCACTTTCATTTCTTGTGTTCACACGGTGCCCTCTTCAAAGGCAGGCCAGAGGGACATTTTTATATTCATCTATTGACCAGAGTCGTTTATTGGGCCAGGCACCAAACGGTGCAAAAGTCAATCCAGCCAATCACATAACAAGTCATTAATTAGTAAGAAACCCAGCCTCGCGGTTGATTTGCGGATGACTTGGCTGGCTTGATGCTAATTGTCAATTCACTACAAGTATAACAAGAGTTGTTGGCAACCTCTTAGCCCATTAACTCAACAGACATTTTGCTCGCCTAGCTCGTAAATACATCAGTGCTAAAGTAAAAAGAAACCCATCATAGGTGTACTAGGTGCATATTCATTTAAACATAACTATACATTTAAAAGTCGAAAATTTACACTTACTAGATAAAAGGCAAAAGGGCAAGCATAACAGCAGTCGCTGACACTCATGTATTATGAAGTGGTGTGGTGTTTACACGTTTATTTATCAATTGTTACTGCTGCAGATACTTGTAGCTTATTGTTATGTTCAGTTGTGCAGTCAGTTCACACATTACAAATTGTCTCCGAGGGCCGATTCAGGCCAAGCGTCTGACAGTACTAATTTCAGGCCGAGTCAGCAAAGAGGAGAACCGGACCAGGACCAGACACCAACGTGCCGGACAGAAACAAAGACAACCGCTCCCGTTGCTCACCGATGGCTAATTCCTCAACGAAAGGAAGCATGACTTAAATACTGCACATCAGGGGTCAGCAAACCAAAATAACAAGAGCCGTTTTTTTCTAATTCGGTAAAACAACTCAATCTATCAAGAGCCGCAATGCATGTAAATAAGAGACGATCCTTAATGAGCTGCATGCGGCTCCAGAGCCACAGGTTGCATATTATTGCAAGTTTTACTGAACAGCGAATTAGGTTATTTTGCAGTGGTGGCATAAGCATGTGGAAAACACACACCGAAAGCGCTCTTGGCCCGCCGTGTCCCAGATCTGAAGCTTCACAGTTTTACCGCCAGTGTTGACAACTTTCGAGCCGAACTCCACTCCGATGGTGTGATTCGAGTCCTGCTTGACTACGCACGCACAATCATCAGTCGCACGCATGAGGCACGCCATGTAAACCACAATCGTGTTTTTTTATTCCTACAAAAAGCTCTCAGCACATGCAGCGAAACGTCGGACATCATGCCGAATATCGATCGCGACAAACATACCAAACACACGTCACGGCGCTTAATTCCCCAAGCTGTCTCATCCCAGTTCTCTACACACAGCAATCCAATAGGTTGTATAATAGTCACCTCTCTATTTTTGGGCGGATTATCCAGGCTGTAGATTAACTGTGCTTGTGAAAAGGGAAAATACAGTATAGTATTCCACAGTCATTCACACATTTTACGTGCACTGGATCTACTATTAGCTGCTCCTCACTCATGACTAATTGCTTTCAGAATCAAAGCAGATGACACATTCTGTCTTTACCCCAATTATATGTAGGTAAGCAGTAAATATGTTCGTATCACCTAGTTTCATGTTTTGCATTAACCGTATTTTCTATCATCTGGCCATTCCCTTCCCCCCCCAGTTACCCATAAAATATATATTGAAATTTCATTTAAAACGTCTTTTTCATGTTTAGTTTGTTATCCTTCTCCCACACCTCCGCTTAGCATGGTTGGCTACGTACGGTGCGAAATAAGTTCAGCATACATAACATCTTGCTACAGTGGGAAGAGATGTTAACTACCTCGCCTGGTATGCAGCAGGAGGTCGTGCGTTCGATCCTAACCCCTGTATATTTGGAGTTTGCATGTTCTCCCCGTGGCCGCACGGAATATTCTCCCGATCCTCTAGAATCATGCGTTTAGACCATTTGACTGCAATAGATTTCCACATGATAAGCCACTTTCTTGGGCTATCATTTGTGGCCAGGCCGCTTCTGAAAAATAACTATATAGCTTAGTGGACCTTACATAGCCAACCAATTTTCTTGTTGTGGTTTTCACACCTGATGATGACTGCTTGTGTTGCAGTCGAAACGTCGTGAGAATTTTCTTGTTTTATATTTTTCTAATTTTATTGTATCCCTTCTACGTGACTTTACTAAAAGAACCAAGAATATGGTAAAATATAGTTTAGCTTAGTTTTAGTTTAGATACCATGGATAACTCAGAGTTGATTGTACTTGCCTTGGCCACTCATGCACCCGAGCCAGCCAAGCTCTATCACATGATCTAGTAATTGTTATAGGAAGGACACGTAATGTGTGGTCACTCACACTTGTTCTCTATGAACTGGTGCAGGAGGCAGGACTTTCCCGTGCCAGCACTGCCGATGACCAGGAACTTGAAGAGGAAGTCTGTGGAAACACACACACAAAATAGACATTATGCAAAATGAGGCCTTGGCAATGCCATTGCAGACATTTCATTGTTTATCAGCAATGAAGTGCAGGAACCGAACAAAGAACTCTTGAGATTTTGGATTTGAGTCTGGGCAGCCCCTTGTCATTTCAAAGGGCTATTATATCAATATCAGCAGCAATAACAATGATCGATTCACTGCAAAATGAAGGCCTCCCCAAAGCTGTCGCCATTTTGCATGGTCGAGCAATGCAACAATCCATCTGGCTCCTGCACACAAACTGATCTCATTGCTCCATCTCTGCAATGGACGACCTTGCTGGCGTGTTGCTGCCTTTAGTCTGGCACTCCAACAAGCTGACCATTTCCCTTTCTAGCGACGATTTACGTCCAATCCCACTTAGTTAAGTCAATGCCTCTCGCTTGTGCATGTTCCCCCGCCTCCTATTTCTTTCTCGGTGTATTCCAAGTGTGCACCTCTCCAGGCTTCTTTGCACACTTTTGTTATAATTGTATTGTCTATGTTCATGAGTCTGATTCCATATGTCATAGCAGGTAATATACAATTATTAAAACCCTTGGGCTCTCACGTGGTTATACATCTTTCAACCCATTATATACTAAAAGTATGTGGCCAAGCAGCACAATTTTTGAGAGGGCAAGGCTCAAAAAACATAATGTTGTAAGTTAAAATCCAAATTGGGGGGTTTAACTCTGCCCCTCATGCCTCTGGCGTGCATAAAATGAGCTGTGCTTTGTTAGGACAACCAGTGGTTGTGTAATGGGTTAACCTGCTCCCAAACCTGTCGCAAGAATGTGGAAATTTCACCATGGGCTTATAGCTGTAAACCCTTGAGTACTTGCGTATGCTCATATTTAGCTGAAACATACTTGGAACCTTTCTTCCCATTATCAAAATATAAGAATCGGTTATACCCTCTCTTGCAATAAAACAGGAGTTAAGATGTTAAAACACTAACCAGAAACCTTTTACAAGGAATAATGTTTGCATTAACCACACATACTTGTGGTGAATATGCGAAATAAAACATGCTCTGGTATTGTGTTTTGCATATTCACCACAAGTATGTGTGGTTAATGCAGACATGATTCCTTGCAAAAGGTTTCGGTTTGGTGTTTTAACATCTTAACACCTTGGTTAAACCAATTCTTATATGAAACTTGATTTTTTTAGCTAAGAAGCTGCCATTGTAGCAATGCGACTTTAGGAAATCTCTTTTTTTGTCTTCATTGTACAGTCTCATTTCTACTGTTTCCCTTTGCTCAGTCTCACTTAAAAACTGGTCATTCACATCTTTTATGCATGTGAACCGGTTTAATGATTATCTGTTCATCTACTGATGGTCAATGATTCAGTGTCTGCAATCATTAATTTAAGAAGTAATAAAACAGAAGACACATTCAAACCTCTTCACCGCCACTCTACATAGGTAAACAATAAGCATGATTTAGTAAACAATTTACATGTTTTGCATTGTCTGCTTGTATTTTTTTACGTGGGCTACCCCTCCTGTAATAAAATGGTAGGAAGTGAAAACTCTAGAGCAGTGGTTCTTAACCTGGGTTCGATCGAACCCCAGGGGTTCGGTGAGTCGATCTCAGGGGTTCGGCAGAGCCCCCGCCACGGAGGTCCAGACACACTTGAATTATTGTGTAAATTTGTGATGACACACACGGCCCGCTTGGCCATCACTGGCTGCAGATGATCATGCTACACTGCTTGGCCAATCAGCGCTGCGGGGAATTTAGTGCGTACCCAGTAGTCAACGTGTGACTGTTGTTGTCGTACGTCGTGTGATTTCTTTAATATTTTATCCATACTAACTATGTCGGGCAAAAGAAGAAAGTGGTCGGACGAATATGTACAACATGGATTCTCATGTATCACGGAACGTGATGGGAGTGAGCGTCCTATCTGCATGATTTGCAACGCCAAGTTGAGCAACTCTAGTCTTGCACCGGCAAAACTAAAGGAACACTTCTTGAAGCTGCATGGAGACGGGGAATACAAGAACACAACACTTGCTGAATTCAGGGTGAAGAGAGCCAGATTCGATGAAAGGGCCACTCTGCCTGCTCTTGGATTTGTACCTGTTAACAAACCGATCCTGACAGCATCGTACAAAGTTGCTTACCTGATCGCAAAGCAGGGCAAGCCACACACCATTCGTGAAACACTTGTGAAACCAGCTGCATTAAAGATGGCGAATCTGATACTCGGAACAGCGGCCGAAGGTAAATTATCTCAAATTCCTCTTTCAAATGACACCGTCAGTGACAGAATAGAAGACATGAGTAAAGACATCTTGGCTCAAGTAGTCGCGGATCTGATTTCAAGCCCGGCAAAATTCAGCCTTCAACTCGACGAAACCACAGACGTTTCTGATCTAAGCCAGCTTGCTGTTTTTGTACGCTATGTGAAAGACGACATGATAAAAGAAGAGTTTTTATTTTGTAAGCCTCTTACAACAACAACGAAGGCAGCCGATGTGAAGAAGCTTGTGGATGACTTCTTCAGAGACAACAATCTTTCATGGGATATGGTTTCTGCAGTTTGTACGGACGGAGCTCCAGTCATGCTGGGAAGAAAGTCTGGTTTTGGTGCGCTAGTAAAGGCCGATGCACCACACATCATTGTGACGCATTGTATTCTGCACAGGCATGCGTTGGCAACAAAAACCTTACCTCCAAAAATGACAGAAGTATTAAAAACTGTGGTGGAATGTGTGAACTATGTGCGAAAAAGTGCTCTGAGGCACCGCATCTTCAGTGAGCTGTGTAAAGAAATGGGCTCTGAATTTGAGGTACTTCTGCTCCATTCTAATATTCGGTGGTTATCCCGGGGACAGGTGCTGAATCGTGTTTTTGCCATGCGTGTGGAATTAGCCCTGTTTTTGCAAGAGCACCAACACTGCCATGCAGATTGCTTCAAAAATCCTGAGTTCATTCTCATTTTAGCGTACATGGCTGATATATTCGCAGCTCTCAATCATCTCAATCAGCAGATGCAGGGTGGTGGAGTCAATATCATGGAAGCGGAAGAACACCTGAAGGCTTTTCAAAAAAAGCTACCGTTATGGAAACGACGAACAGAGAACAATAACTTCGCAAACTTCCCGCTTCTGGACGACTGTGCAAGTAAGATCGAAGATGTGTCTGGAATCGGAGATATTTCTGTATCCACGGAACTGAAGCAAACAATTGCCACGCACTTAGATGAGCTTGCAAAGTCTCTCGACGGATATTTCCCTACAAGATAGTCATATCCAGCATGGGTGAGACAGCCGTTCACGTTTGCTGTTGAAACAGCAGATGTCAATGATGAATTCCTCGACGAAATCATTGAAATTCAGCAGAGCCAGGTTCAACAGCAACTCTTCAGAACAACAACGCTCTCAACGTTTTGGTGTCGACAAATGAACAAGTATCCAGTTATTGCTAAGAAAGCCCTGGATTTTTTTATACCATTTGTTACAACATATCTTTGTGAGCAATCCTTTTCGAGGATGCTGGACATAAAAACGAAGAAAAGGAACAGACTTTGCTGTGAAAATGACATGAGAGTGGCACTTGCCAAGGTGAAGCCACGCATATCTGAACTGATCTCTCAAAGGCAACAGCAGAAGTCACATTGATTTCCAGGTATGTAATTTGTTGTGAGTTTATGCATTGTGTTGGTTTTATTCTTTGAACAAGGTAATGTTCATGCACGGCTCATTTTGTGTACCAGTAAAAAACATATCTAAGTCTTGAATTTGAAAAAAATCACATTTTATTTTTCACTAAAGAGGGGTTCGGTGAATGCGCATATGAAACTGGTGGGGTTCGGTACCTCCAACAAGGTTAAGAACCACTGCTCTAGAGACTTCCCTTGTAAGACAAAAAATCATACTTGTTAATGGATGACGAGAAACACCATGTTGCCAATTTTCTCACATGCTATGAGTCACTACAATAATTACATGCATAATTAAACCACGCTCACAACCATGCACATGTGTTTTTTATACATTTACATTTAAACTAGGCTCAATTCCGGAAGGACCCTTACCATATTCGTAACTATCTACTTGGATTCAGATAACGGATGGGTTACAGTCACTATGGTACTGGCAGACAACGAACACTAAAGGGGAGATTAGTTTTAAAGCTCTGGAGTCTGTGAGATCAAAGGGTTTCTTTGATCACACTTACGTAATGTACAAGCTCCGTAAAGGTTCTCAAAAGTTGGCTTTTTCTGTCAGCTCATTGTGATGTGAAGGCTCAAATTTTATTTTGCCATGTTTCTAAATACTGCGCGTTTAAAAAAAAGGTGATGCAAATTCCAGTCACCCTAGTCTGCTCACCTCTAAAAACAAAATTATGTTCAGTGACCTGCCAGCAAAACATGTATGTCTCCATGTGGAATCATGAAACACCTAGCCTGGTACAAGTGCAGTTGTTATGTTACCACCATGAAGTGGTCAATAGCTGATGTTGCTGTTCTGTGTAACGGTGACCTTGGTTCGATAACTGGCTACGCACATCAGTGGCAAATGGAATCTGAACCTGTCCTCGGCATCATTTTAGGTCAACTCCGCCTTAAACAAGTACCCAGTGTAGCGTGTAAACATTGGCACTGGGGAGACGAAGGCGGCCAGGCATAGTGCTGGGCGCAGTACTCTCTTGTGTGCCGTGCTCGCCTTTAATAGAGGCTCACTGACAACACTTGCCCCCGCAGTCTAAAAGGGATATTTGTGCGTTGCACTCTTAACAGTAGAGGTAGAACTGAAACTCACAACTCTCTCACAATGGAATAAATTTGTGTTCACTCGGCCACAAAGAGGAAACAAAGTTTAGATAAAACTATTCTTAGAGCCATGAAGGACACGTTGAGATGTTATGAAAACGTAAAGGACAAATGACGGCAACCTTAAAAAAAACACTTTTCTCGAAATCACAATCGGCTCACTCCAAGCAAAAACAACCAAAGACA